GAGTAACAGATTGTCAAAAGAGAAAAAAATGTAGGGCAGGGATTTGGTTCTATTCATCAGTTGTTGATTGGATTGTGAGATGTGGACGTTGCGCTCAAAAATGGAGACAGTGAAATTACATTTCATGCTGACTCTTGATCTACATTCACAGTGGGCTTTGAGTCCAGAAAGATGCTATCAAATTTGTGGGGAGCTTTTATGCGTCAATGCAAAATAAGATGCTTGAAAAAACATACCTTTACCTTTTCCTTTGCAGGGCCAGATTATCAATTAAAGAGTCATGAACCGCATTGTTTTATAAGGTTTCCTTGGGTGCATTTAAAATGTAAGTGTGATTTTTATATCAAAAAATATATCAGGCATTTTTCCGACACTGATTTTAGCCTCTGATTTGAAGGGGCGTGTCTCTGAGACGTCACTGCTGTGATTGGCTTTTTATTCTTTATTTCATTTTATAACACCCCAATTGTTTTAAATATTTCAAAGAACTCTGTTCATTTTAAATTAGACTTTGGATGTCATATTTCCAATGTGTTCTTAGTATTTTGGGCACCATACTGTATTACCCTCCAGACAGACACTGACAGCAAGGCGTTGTGGGAAGAAGGAGTAAACATCATGTTCGTTTGAATGGTCTTGTCCTTTACTGGGCATTTATATGGGCCGGCTACACAATGTGGAAATATGGTCACTTTATATAGCGTTCACACTGACAACAGCAGACAGACTCACTCAATAGTGTTATGATTGTCAGATTCATAATGCAACACATCATTATTAATGATGGGAAACAGACAACTGTGAACTCGTCTGGTCCTACACAAACAGAGCGGAGAAAAGCACACCTGTCCTGTGTACGTGCAGCAGAAACTAATCTGACAGAGAGACAGAGGAACAGAAACGGCTGTCACACACATTTACACTCAGACTGTGTGTCATTGTCGGGCTGCAATGGCAGGTTCACTTCATACCACGCTTCAAGAAGTCTAGAGCCCTGATGTTACGCTGGTGTTGGGAGAAACATAAGCAAACAACAAAACCCTGCGCTTCTTGCGTCCTCGCTCTCTGATCACTTGGACGTGGCTGTGGTTACAAGAGGTAAAAACGATATAAATACTGCTCGTTTTCTCACACAAACCGCTCGTTTCGTGTCTTAGGCCATCAGCTTGTACTTACATTTACGAGTCATTAAATCATGTTTAATTTTGACTTCTCTGTGCATGCTCTTTGACCATAGACCTCCATTATATGACTGACAGACAAGAACGGTTTGACCTAAAAATATCAAAATCGAAAATACTGTGGAAACAAAGACACCTACATCTTGGATGCCCTTGAGGTAAGATAAAACATATCAAAAATTAATTTCAAAGTGAACTATCCCTTTAAAGTCACCATGAAAACAAAATGGACAACGTGCAGTATTTATGATGAATGATGTTCATCATTAAATAAACGAACTCCCTCTTGTTCTGCTCTTGTCTGATGATGTGTTTACTGGCGTGAGGGTGGGGCAACCTGTCAATCACTTGACACTGACTACTAGCAAACCACAACCCCCAAAGCAGACCAAAACAAAACCTCAATTCCCCACAGACAAAATCAAGCCCCGCCCACATTTCTTCTCACTCGCGAAGGCATTTCAACCTGGTTTAAACACATCACACTAGTGAATAATGCACTATTGACAGCTAGTGGATGATTTCCACTAACTGGCAACGCGAGGTTTTGAAATGCTATTCGTTGAACTGGCAGTGGGCAGCCAAAGAAACACGCTGACTTTTTGGGGCTTTAGCTTATTCACCGTATCCCCCAGAGTTAGATAAGTCCATACATACCCTTTTCATCTCTGTGCGTGCTGTAACTCTATCTGACGCACACACCACTAGCCTAGCTTAGCACAAAGACTGGATGTAAATGGCACCAGCTAGCATACTAATCCCAATAGGTGACAAAATAATGCAAACATTTTCCTATTTACATGTTGTGATTTGTTTAGTCACAAAGTTGTACAAATAAAAAGGTTTCCTCCTGCACACACACACACACACACACATATATATATATATATTCAAACGCACATAACTATAGAATCAGTTCTTAATGCACATGTCAACGTTTATCACAGATTCACATTTAAAGTCTGTTTAGAGACATTCATATACATTTTTACCTTACAGTTATGTAAATCCGGCCCCTAGTTCATAAACGCCAGAGGAAAACTGGCCCCCGACTGAGCCTGGGTTCTCCCAAGGTTTTTTTTTTCTCCATTGGGTCACCTGATGGAGTTTTAGGACACCATCTGGTCACCTGATGGAGTTTTAGAACACCATTGGGTCACCTGATGGAGTTTTGGGACACCTTTGGGTGTCCTAAAACTCCATCAGGTGACCCAGTGGTGTCCAAAAACTCCCTCAAGTGACCCAATGGAGTCCTAAAACTCCATCAAGTGAAACAATGGTGTCCTAAAACTCCATCATGTGACCCAGTGGTTTCATTAAACTCCATCAGGTGACCCAATGGTGTCCTAAAACTCCATCAGGTGACCCAATGGTCTCTTAAGACTCCATAAAGTGACACATGGTGTCCTAAAACTCCATCAAGTGACACAATGGTTTCATTAAACTCCATCAGATGACCCAATGGTGTCCTAAAACTCCATCAGGTGACCCAATGGTCTCCTAAAACTCCATCAGGTGACCCAATGGTTCATTAAACTCCATCAGATGACCCAATGGTGTCCTAAAACTCCATCAGGTGACCAATGGTCTCCTAAAACTCCATCAGGTGATCCAATGGTGTCCTAAAACTCCATCAAGTGACACAATGGTGTTTAAAACTCCATCAGGTGACCCAATGGTGTCCTAAAACTCCATCAGGTGACACAATGGCGTCCTAAAACTCCATCAGGTGACCCAATGGTGTCCTAAAACTCCATCAAGTGACACAATGGTGTCCTAAAACTCCATCAGGTGACCAAAGGTGTCCTAAAACTCCATCAGGTGACAATAGTTTCATTAAACTCCATCAGATGATCCAATGGTGTCCTAAAACTCCATCAGGTGACCAAATGGTCTCAAAACTCCATCAAGTGACACAATGGTGTCCTAAAACTCCATCAGGTGACCAATGGTGTCCTAAAACTCATCAAGTGACACAATGGTGTTTAAAACTCCATCAGGTGACCCAATGGTGTCCTAAAACTCCATCAGGTGACACAATGGTGTCCTAAAACTCCATCAAGTGACCAATGGTGTCCTAAAACTCCATCAGTGACCCAAAGGTGTCCTAAAACTCCATCAGGTGACCCAATGGTTTCATTAAACTCCATCAGATGACCCAATGGTGTCCTAAAACTCCATCAGGTGACCCAATGGTCTCCTAAAACTCCATCAAGTGACACAATGGTGTCCTAAAACTCCATCAGGTGACCCAATGGTGTCCTAAAACTCCATCAAGTGACACAATGGTGTTTAAAACTCCATCAGGTGACCCAATGGTGTCCTAAAACTCCATCAGGTGACACAATGGTGTCCTAAAACTCCATCAAGTGACACAATGGTGTCCTAAAACTCCATCAAGTGACACAATGGTGTCCTAAAACTCCATCAAGTGACACAATGGTGTCCTAAAACTCCATCAGGTGACCCAAAGGTGTCCCAAAACTCCATCAGGTGACCCAATGGTGTTCTAAAACTCCATCAGGTGACCCAATGGAGAAAAAAAAACCTTGGGAGAACCCAGGCTCAGTCGGGGGCCAGTTCTCCTCTGGCGTTTATGAACTAGGGGCCGGATTTACATAACTGTAAGGTAAAAATGTATATGAATGTCTCTAAACAGACTTTAAATGTGAATCTGTGATAAACGCTGACATGTGCATTAAGAACTGATTCTATAGTTATGTGCGTTTGAATATATATATATATATCTGTGTGTGTGTGTGTGTGATGGAGTTTTTTGGTTCCTTGCCACTGTTGCCTTTGGCTTGCTCAGTTGGGGATATTCAAATTAATTAACCAATCAGTAATACCCTTGATCAGCTCTACCAAACATGGATGTTTTACTAAGAAACGAACATTGTTATTATGTTTTGATTGATACTGTGAAGCTGCTTTGATCTATATTGTGGAAAGCGCTATATAAATATACTTGACTTGACTTGCCTTTATTCTGCAAACATATGATAATTTTATGCTTTAGTACAGTCAAAAAACAACAAACATAACCCGTATGTTTACATTAACCAACAGATGAGTTGCTCCTGCCTTATCTGGGACTCGAACCAGCCCTCATATATTCAGTTTATGACTAAAAATCACTCGCATCGCATTGTAATCAAGGCTTCCCAACCCCACTATAGTTAGTTTCCCACTAGGGTTGTTTATCTCCATAAACACTATCATCCTGATATCACAGCATTAGACTGGCTTTCCAAACACAAATCCTAACTTTGACCAAAGCTAGTTGTATGTTATATCAACACAGGTTTGGAAACCCAAGCGCCAGCTCCTGTTCCAGTGCCGGGATATACGGGATATTGCACGGGCTGTAATCTGCTTTATGAGGTAATGGCACACACACACACCCTCCTGATCCACAGATAAGACAGAGAAAGGCCGTAGCGTGTGGGAAAACCTTTGATCCTCCCAATACTCCAAAGATGACAGATATTGATAAGGTTGAAATAGCTTTGGCTGCAATTGTGGAGTGAAACACGGGACCCTGTGGTTTGGATGGACAAGATCATTGCCTAAAACAGCTCAAGCCTATTATTTAGTAGATTATTCATAGCCCAAACCTACGTTTTTTAAACCTTTGTCGCCTTTCCTAGTTGGGGACATTAAATTGAAATATTCAATTTTTAATATTCAGCAATATTATTGATCTCCTGCATTGACACTTTTATACAAGAACTGAACTGAGCCGGACGATGGCATCACGGTTTCTTCAGAGCGGCAGAGCACACTTCACCAACAGGAAAATCACAACAGCGCAAAGACTGGGATTTAAGAAACCATTTAATAATAATGATGAGAATAATAAAAACAATGGACGTATTTCACTGATGAACATTATACATTATAACAATGAAGTCAACAACAAAAAAAATGAAATAAATAAAATGCCTAGGTACATATAGATATGGCTGTAAAAGTGGCACATCAGACGAGATCAGCGTGAGTGAGCGAGGATGAGGAGGACGGCTCCCATGAGCACATATTACTATCATCCACTACCTATGGTGAGAGAGAGAGAGAGGAGAGAGAGAGTGATTATGAGAAATAAAATGTTGTGAAACGTGTTTATCAAACATCAAATTTAAGCACAGAAAAAAATACTGAATATAAAAAAACAATAATAATACTGATTGATGGAAATACTAAATGTAGATAAAATACCACAAAAGTGTTGTCAAACGATTAATCGCAATTAATCGCATCCAAAATAAAAGTTTGTGTTTACATAATACTTGTTGGGTGCACTGTGTATAATTATATATATATATATATATATATATATATATATATATATGAATACACACACATGCTTGTAAATATTTAAGAAATATTTTCATGTATATAGATTTATGTATAATTTATATTATATATAAATATTTTACATATAAATAATATTTTTTTCTTAAATATACAAGCATAATTAATTATACACAGTGCACCCACATATATTATGTAAACACAAACTTTTATTTTGGATGCGATTAATCGCGATTAATCGTTTGACAGCCCTAATATCTTGAGTTCGATAGTCTACATAATCAATGCAAAAAACAAATAATAAAATTACTAATAAATACTAATAATGCATATATGCCTGATGATGTCATGTCAGTAAAGCAGTCGAATTTTGTAGTTCGTTTTGTGCTCGGGTTCCTAAGTTACAGAGTGCCAGTAAAAGCGATTGTTGATGTACCATCTCAAGGGTTTTGGAAAAATATTATAATGGTTGAAAAAGTTACTTAGTGCTGCTTTAAATTGTAAGTTCCCTGTAGGATCAGACGGCAGAGTAAACACACGAGTGATTCCCGTAACTGTCCTGGGGTCAGTGCTACACATCAGGGATCACGGTCTCTCCTTCGGACACTTCCAGGCTTTCTCAACACAAGAAAGTGTGTGTATGTGTGTGGGTTTCAGGCTCCGTCCACACTACTGCGTTTTCGTTTAAAAACGGAGACCTTTTGCTACGTTTGCACCTCCCGTCCAGACTAAAACGGGAAAGACGAAGACCTAAAACAGAGAAGTTTAGAAACGCTGCAGCTCTGTTTTGCGTTTTGAATCTCCGGAGGGCGTTTTAGTGAAGACGAGACAAAGTGGAGGACTTCAGAAACGCTGACGCAGTGGCTGACGCTTGGCTCCATGATTGGGTGTTATCAGTCATGACGTATCCTTCCCTCATTCGTCTATCACTGTTTACACCGGCACGCGCATGCCCAGTGTTGGTGAATGGTCACGTGATCTGCGTTTTCGGTCGTTTTAATGTGGGCGGAGATCATTTCTAATACGCAGATAAAACGCTGGTGCGGACGGAGATCGTATTCGTTTTAATTCTCCGTTTGTAAACGAAAACGCAGTAGTGTGGACGGGGCCTCAGAGGCAATGACAAGTGTTGGAGTCACACCTGTGTATTAGCCACATCTAGGGATGCACCGATACGAAAACTTTGGCTTATACGATAACCGATAATTATTCATATTTGAAAGCCGATAACCGATATATCGGCCGATAGATCTAAATTCAAACATCATTTCAACCTGATTACAAAAACAAAATTCACACCATTAAAATTGATGCCCCAATCACACAAATATAATGTTCTCGTGATAATTGTGTGTAGCCGATATATGAGAGGCTTGCGCTGCACATGTTGCACTTTACTGTAGTTTCCTTTATTAAAGGGATAGTTCACTTTGAAATTAATTTTTGGTATGTTTTATCTTACCTCAAGAGCATCCGAGATGTAGGTGTCTTTGTTTCCACAGTATTTCTAATTTTGACATTTTTCAGTCAAACCGTTCTTGTCTGTCAGTCATATAATGCAGTTTTAGGGGGTCCACCCCAAAGAGCATGCACAGAGAAGTCCAAATTAAACATGATTTAATGACTCGTAAATGTAAGTACACATTGATGGCCTAAGACACGAAACGAGCGGTTTGTGTGAGAAAACCAACAGTATTTATATCGTTTTTACCTCGTTGAATCCAAGTGATCTGAATCAGTTGTTCAATGTCCAACTGAACCGAACTGAATCAGTTCAATGTTACGCCGGAAGTGATCGCTTGCATGTGACGTCACTCAATATTTACACGGAGATTTCGGAAGTTTTACCTTTCACTAAACATATTTAGATATACCGAAATCGTCTTCCATTGCGGTTTCCCGTATATCTAAATATGTTTAGTAAAAGGTAAAACTTCCGAAATCTCTGTATAAATATTGAGTGATGTCACACGCAAGCGATCACTTCTGGCGCATGCGCAGACCGAAGCGCCCGTGCAGTCAGATCAGTTGGACGTGGCTGTGGTTACAAGAGGTAAAAACAATATAAATACTGTTGGTTTTCTCACACAAACCGCTCGTTTCGTGTCTTAGGCCATCAGTGTGTACTTACATGTACGAGTCATTAAATCATGTTTAATCTTGACTTCTCTGTGCATGCTCTTTGAGGTGGACCGATTGAGAACCCCCTTCACCTCCAGTGTATGACTGACAGACAACACCGGTTTGACTAAAAAATGTCAAAATTGGAAATACTGTGGAAACAAAGACACCTACATCTTGGATGCCCTTGAGGTAAGATAAAACATCCCAACAATTAATTTCAAAGTGAACTATCCCTTTAAGTGGTTTCATTTGTTATAGGCATCACGTCGCACAGGTTCACTTTGTACCACCTTTTAACAGCATGTAAAAGCAAACTCTGACTGGACCCTTTTTGTATCAGTAACTAAAGCATCCTCAAACACCAAAGCAGAGTGTGAGTGCCTCGTGCGGACTCACACGAGTGTGTGTGTGTGTGTGTGTGTGTATCCACCCTCACCTCCTGATGTGTCCAGCGTCGAGCTGCTCCTGTAGGACTGACGCTCTCTTCTGCAGGAACTTCACCTGCACACACACACACACACACACACACCTCAAGCTTAGTGGCACACGGGGGAAGTGTATTATGGTGACACTTTATTTTACAGTGTCCTTGTTACATGCACTTACCGTAGTAATAACAGTTAATTATGCAAATCCTACCCTAACCCTATAGTAAGTACATAATAATAATGAACTTAATTAGTTAGGCTAGTAGTATTTGCAGTGGTATCGGAGTAAACCCAAAGTTACACCCATTTTTTTGGCTCATCAGCAAACATGACCCGATTTGTGACGATACTATGAGTCTTGTGATGCGTTACACCACTACTGTTTTCCCATTTATGGACCACTAGTTCTACACTACAGTAAAATGCAAAATCGGAATATTCTACAAACCTGCAATAGTTAAATATGTAAAATAACACAAATATACTTTATGTGTTTAATCTCACTTTATTAACTTTGTGTTACCTGCTGATGTCAATCAATTCAACCATACCGATAAACAAAAATGACTTTTGAAAAATATTACAGCATTTTTTTTACTGCCAAAGTGAAGAGTATTGAACCAAAGTCTCTTTCAAGGAAAGTCCGTCACTCGGCGGCCATATTTGCAGCAGTTTCAGGTTTCCAAGACCAAGTCCTGTCTATTTGAACGGGGGAAATCCTGACATCTCGAAAACCGCATGCGTTCGTCTCAATTAAAAAACATATTTTAAATCAGCAAACAAAAGCTGCCCCATAAATATTATCTCTTATGCTCAAATAGCGTTAAAAACATGTATTCTTCAGGCTAGCTTCATACGAGCAAGTCTCAGGTTTCTATGGGAACGGTGTCAGTGATTGGCTCATTCACTTTAGAAGGCGGGACTCATTCCGCGTTATTGCGCGTTGCAGTTTCTCCACTCCATGAGTAATAGGAACGAAGCGTCTTTCTATATCTATAGTCTTTGGTTGAGCTTTCTTCTTCTCCTGTGGTCCAGAATAACAGCACAGCTGAAAGGTTTGTTTGAGCGGCGCCCTCTACTGTACAGGAGTGAATCTGCAGTTCCTTATTCACTTTAGGTGTGAAGTGGCCTTTACATTTGCCATAGACTTTAAAAAACAAAATAACAAACAGGCAAGCCCAGCCCAGATGAGATAAAGTAACGCAACACATAAAAAGTCACTATTTAACTAGATGAATACCTTTTTAGGGAGTAACGCAATATTGTAATTCTTTAAGTTTAAAGTAACTTACCCCAATGCTAGTCTCATTTCTTGTTAGTGGACAAAAACTTGACAAAAACCCCTTTAAAGTCTGACTTTGACCTTTTTGCTAAAATGTAACAATAGTGTGAAACAAAAAATGTTTACGGTAACCGAATGCACTTGGAGAATTGTGTCTTTTTTTAAAGTTTGTACGAGTCTGAAAAGAAAGTGCATTGTTCTGTGCCGATTTTTTCCAGGAAACGAAGATACACAGAACAGAGCAAAACCTCAAAGCAAATCTAATGTTACCATCCTTGCAAAAATGCACGCCTCCGACTCTGAAAAGAACGGCTCTGGTTAAGATTCCTCAACGGCCGCTGGGTTTGTTAAAATAATGCACTGCAATGCTGGAGATATTCAAGGACATCGGAGGCCACGCTGGTCACCAATTACAATGCATAAACATATCAGATCACAGAGCTGTGTCTGCGCTTCCAGAGGAATCTGGTCAGAGCTATTCAGAGGCGTGCGCCGGGGTCTTTGAACTGTGATCTGGAAATGTTGTTCGAGGGGCCCGGACCGAGCCTGACAAAAAAGGAGCTATTGTTTAGATCTGAAATGTTTAACAAAAATGCTCTTGCCACAGACTCGTGTAGAACAAGGCCGACTGTAACTAATAAGACCCCGGCCGGAGCCCTTGAAGCCTGTATTAATGTGGCTGGCGGGTGTAATTGCACATGAGGAGATGAACTGGACCGGAGACTTCAAAGCCTCATGGCCAAATTAGATCCATGTCTATGGAGGAACTCGCGGCACTTGTTACCCCCTCCCCTTCCCAAGAAATCAAATAAACAAGAGCCACTTGAGTTCAAAGACGTGAGGTCTGACTGCCCGGCATTATTAGCTGATCGCATGCGAGAGACACCAAAGCGGACTGATCGCATGCGCAGGACTAAAAAGTTCTGGAGTAAAATGCATTCTGTACATCAACAACGCCCTCTCCATATGAATGATTGACTTTTAATATTGCCTATGGAGGCTATAAAACCAAGCGGCAACCGTCGTGTCTCTCTCTTGAATCCAACACGGAAATTACTTAACCCCTTAGCTGTCACCCCCCTTTTTGAGAATGGGGGTTAATATGCACTATTCAAACTTAAATGGTTGTAATTTAAGAATGCTTTGGAATATACATATACCCAAGTTTGGTCTTGTTTTAAAGGAAACACTCAGCAGAATATTGCTGAAGTGAAAACACTTCAAAAAATGAAAGTATTAAAAAGTTATGGAAGTTTAAATTTACAGTAAATTAAATATACTGTACTATATATTTGTTATTTTATAAAAATATATATTTTATAAAATATTTTTTACTCTAAAATTTCTATAAAATCAAATCCAAATTTGAAGTTGATATCACAAAAATTGAAGTTCCCATGAGATTTTGTTTAGGCGTAGTACCAAAAATAGCCACCGGGTGCCATTGAATTCCATTGAATTTAGATTCTGCCTTCACAAATTAATACTTTCTGTCCAAATATCAATTCTGTCACATAATTTGGAACCTTGAGACTCTGACCTTTCTGACAAGATCAGTTTTGTCAAGATTAGAACAAGTTTTGATCATAAATTATGAAATATAATGATGCCCAAAAGGGGAGGAGCCTGATAAAATAAGTACCGTTTCTATGGTAACGCAACTTTCAATTATAAAACCGTTTTCACACGATGAATTCTGAGTTTATAAGCTTTCAAATGATACCTAATTTATGATAACTACTAAAATATGTGATATAATAAAAAAAGGCGATAAAAAATAATATTATATTTTAGAGGATAATAAATATAAATATTATCATTTTTAGAGGATAATATTGTACTATATATATTTTTTTTATTGAAAAAAACTAGATTACATGTTTTATTATTAACTTTTAGCATAAAAACAGAAGTTTCAATGATTAAAAGTGGGTTCATCAACTTTTTGTGACAAAGGTCAAAACTCCTGTTATGATGCAGATTTTTTGAGGTGCACTCTTGTCATAAATTCATCAATTACTCTTCCTACATAATTTTTAACACAAAACAGGGGTAGAATATCTATTTAGAAGTCTTAGACCTTTCCAACAATATATAATTTGTCATAATTAGATTAGGATTTAATAGAAATATAGTGAAGTAAAGTTAGGCGTCCCGGTACCGGGACGGTGACAGTTAAGGGGTTAAATTGCAGTTCATCGATTGGCCACTAGAGACAGGCTCCAGAAGAGAGTCAATCCCATAGACCCCCATGTTAAATTCCCAACTTTACAGCTGAAAAAAAAACTTGTTTACAGCCTGGTGCAAAAAGTGGTTTTGGGTTATAAAGCTAATTTTGCCCTTCATGACGACTGTGAGGAGGGTGAACTTTTTTATAACTCATCCGTTTAAATTATATTAAGCCTTAAAGTTGTGCATAATTAAGGGCGTGGCCACTTGAGTGACAGGTGGATTGCCGCTGCTTCACTTCTAGCCGTTTGTCTGCGGTCAGCTCAGCTAATCCGCCTCGCAGCACATTTTCATTTATCCGGGAGTGATGCACGGCCAAGATGGCGACGGCCGGCTCCGCCCACTTTAGGCTTCAAAAGTGTTCTTCAGAAACACTACGGGCGACGTTACATATATACACATTCGTATTCTTTTACTGTCTATGTATAAAACATGATACATACATTAGAAACAATAAAATACCAGTGGGATAGCAAATATGCTCACATACCGAACAATTAGCTGGACCTTAATATCAAAGAGGAAACTCCTAACAATGTCAGAGACAACCAGGTCACAGGCAAATAAGTTTTTAGACATGCGTGAATTTGGCAACATTTCTGCAAAAATGTTGTTTTGGGGATATTTCCAGTGGATTTGTTTGAGGCATGTTTTCAGGCAATGTTCAGTGACTGGCGCAAACGAATGTTTTCAGAAATAGTTAAACATGTTGCAAAGTAACAGTACAAATAAAAAGACTGGACAACTGCTATAAGTAATCTAAGCGGTCCTAGCACTGAACCTTGTGGTACTCACTGGTGATGGTAAAGGTTGGACACAATAATAATTTACTACAGATAAACAGAGATATTTTTAATGTATTTATTTGATAAGTAGTCATGTAAGAAGTTAGATAATGTTCATCCAGTTGCTCATTCCAACAAAATAAACTCCTCACCTTCTTCACATGCCAATCCAACTGTCTGGGTTTATTTAGCGATTATGAGTGATGTACTCCAGCGCTTCTGTTTTCCCCTGGAAGCCGTAACCAATCAAAGCAGCCGCTATTGAGGAGCTATGCGCCTTATAACGCACATCATCCTGTCTACACATAAGTGATCCAGGTGTGTTTATGAATCGAGTCCATGTATATGAAACTATGCAATGTCCAGATGTGTCTGCGGTGGTGGTTTTTCAATGGAAACTTGTTTCCACCACAGAATAAAAAATTAAATCGGTAAATGTGACTTTTTATCTCAAAATTCTGACTTTTTTCTATACAATTGTGTGATATAAAGTCGCAATTGCGCATTATAAAGCAAGATTTGTGAGATATAAAAATGGAATTGCTAAAAATAAACTTGCAATTCAGACTTTTTTTCTCCGAATTTCACGCAATTGCATGATATAAAGTCAGAATTGCATGATCTAAAGTCGCAAACGTGTTATAAAGTCAGAATTGCGTGATGTACCAGTAAACATGCAGTTCTGAGAAAAAAAAACGCACAATTGCGACTTTATATCATGCAATTATGACTATAACACAGAATTGCGACTTTATATCTCGCAATTATGACTTTATATTACAAAATTCTGACTTTATAACAGAATTGTGAGTTTATATCTTGCAATTCTGACTTTATAACACGCAATTGTAAGTTTGTATCTCGCAAATCTGACAAATAAAGTCAGAATTGCACAATGTAAACTGGCAATTGACTTTACCTGTGACTTTAGCGAGGCGATGGTGTCGTTCAGCTCCTGCTGTAGCTCTGCAGGCATCAGGCCTTTAATCTTCAACTCACACTCCTGATGGACATGTGTGATCTACATGAGGAGAGATGGATAGAGTTTAAAACATGCCCCGTAATAACGGCTCAAAGTACAGAATTGTTGTATGAACATACTCAAGTGAGACACTCGTTCGTCAACAAACTGAGGAATAAACAAATCATGCTTCACTGAAAACACTTCAAGGTCACGTCTAGAGGGGTATTGAGAGGACCCTTTCAAACTATGCCTTTTTCCAAGGTCAAACTGATAACAGTCTGTTTTATAAGTCACATGTACATCTGTGCCATGGTTAGTGCTACAATTGTAGGGTTAGATGTAACACCCTTGTTTTAAATACTTCCACACATGCCCGCATGACGAAACTTAGTGTATTTACTAGTCGCCATATCAATACTATTTAGAGAAAACTTTCATGAATTATATTGAGAAACCACAAGAAAAAGGCGAATGATGACTGAGAGTCAATCATCAGGGATTATTAATTATTATTATGTTTTGAAATATTTTTGTTTTATTTATTAAAAAATGCCATTATTTTATATAAAAAAGTTAATAATTGTATTTTATTGAGAAAATATTTTATTTTTTCTTGTATTTTTTTTTGATTAAATCAGATAAAATTGACAATGTACTTCACCTAAGGGGCATGTTGTCACAATTCACTTCCAGAAAAAAGAATACACTGTATTAATGAAACAAAACCACATAACTGTACAAGACGTGTGAAATTAATGAGGGGGAAAATGGATCTCTGAACCCTAAGTAGGTTTACACAAACTGAGAAAGTCTAAAAGTTGTGCCTCGCTCTCCGCTACATATATACTGTGTGTACCAAACCAAATTGATTGAAGTCTTTTGGTGCGGTACACACAAAAATGATGCATATACGAGTTTCTCGTCGTGTAATGTCGTCGAGGCTGGTTAGGATGAACCGTTTTGTACTGTAATTTTGGGCTAGTCTATGTTGGTTTTTAGACTTGGTGTTCACCACCCTGATGGTCTACCACATGCCAAGTCTAGTGAGAATGGTCTTAGTGGTCTGGGTTTAGGTCTTAAGGGATCTGAGTCTCATCTTGCTTTGATCTTTGATGCTCTTAAACAGACTCTGTCCACCATATTAAGTTAAAAACGTCGTAATATCCGCCTTGTTTGAGGGGAACAGAGGCGCAACAAGAAAGATGATTGCCTTTCCTAAAATAATTTTCCTGTTGTGGATTTAACTGATTGTTCTGGCTTTCTATAATTAATCTTTCAGGGTACAATGAAAGGATTGGAAGCCACTTCAAAGAGGACGAGTATACATAATCTGAACACAGCTCTCTGTTCTTCTTTTGTAGACCAGGCCTTCGCCATTTAGCCGATCGCCCCCATTTGCTGCCCTCCTCTTTATTTGACACGCGAGCCAATCGATACTTATTTCTTATTACTTATGTCTGAGTGAATTCAACCAGCTAGAATTATAGCACTGGATATTGAGACAACTCTTGAGTGTCTCTTAGCTAACTCGACTATAATTTTTTCGATAATCGTTTTTTTTTTTTTTTTTTTAAATGTGGTCGATTCGATATCGATTCTTTTTTCCGTAAATGAATTACCACAAACGTTGAATATAAAATGTTCTTACTAGTCACAGACAGCAAATAACGGTAATTAAATTAATTCTCTTTCACGTCTCTCGCACTTAAACGAACAAATTCACACAGATTTACCTCAAAATGTCCGCCTTTACGAGTTTCCAAGTAACCATAATCGGTTATGGCTTCAGTAAACAGCAGAGAAAGATGTGCATGTGCTAATATTATATGTGCTAATAGTCTAACTACAAAAGACAAACAACACACTCTCTGCTCTTCACTGAATAACATTTTGGTAAGTTAAATAAGAATTAACCTTTATTTAATTTGTACAGTGAAGATTATATGCAGTGCTATTTTACATTTGATCACTTTATTCAGTTTCTGTACCTGAGAACTGTTAGACCTACCTGAAAAATATTAAAAGCACAGATTATTTCATTTCTATCTTTATTCTATTGTATTTATTTATTTGTGTCACTGCTTGAAGTTTAATTATTTGTTCTTTTTTTAAATTAATGACTGTTTTTTTTTATAATCGTTGAAATGTATATTAGTAGTTTTAGCTCTGGTATTGCAATTGGAATCGAGAATTGTTCAATTTCACTGGTAATCTATCATTTTGTCACATTACTTATTTATTACAATACAAGGATACATGGGTCAAAAAGAATAACTATTTTATTAATTTATTACTTTCTTTGTGGTGGGGCCAGTGAAAATGGAATAACTGAAATCAGTGAATTGAAAATTGATAATAGAATCGAGAATTGAATCGTATCAAGATCTTCTGAATCGGAATCAAATCGAATCGAGATCTTGTAAATTGAATTGAGATCTTGTGGATCGCATTCAGATCTTGTGAATCGAATTGAGAGCTTGAGGATCTGAATTTAATCGAATTGAGATCTTGTGAATCAAAAAAAAAATGAGATCTTGAGAATTGCACTTAAATCGAATTGAGATGTTGTGAATCGAATTGAGATCTTGTGAATCTAAATCGAATCGAATTGAAATCTTGTGAATCGGAATCAAATTGAGATCTTGTAAATTGAATTGAGATCTTATGAATCGAATTGAGATCTTGTGAATCGAATTGAGATCTTGTGAGTCTGAATCAAATCGAAATTAAAATTGTGATCTTTTGAATCGGAATTAAATTGAGATCTTGTGAATCAAATTGAGATCTTGTGAATTGTAATCGAATCTAGATCTTGTGAATCAAATCAAGATCTTACGAATCGAATCGAGATCTTTTGAATTGGAATCAAAACGAGATCTTGTGAATTGAATCGAGATCTTGTGAATCAAATCGAGATCTTGTGAATCGAATTGAGATCTTTTGAATCTAAATCGAATCGAATTGAAATCTTGTGAATCGGAATCAAATTGAGATCTTGTAAATTGAATTGAGATCTTATGAATCGAATTGAGATCTTGTGAATCGAATTGAGATCTTGTGAGTCTGAATCAAATCGAAATTAATTGTGATCTTTTGAATCGGAATTAAATTGAGATCTTGTGAATCAAATTGAGATCTTGTGAATTGGAATCGAATCGAGATCTTGTGAATCAAATCAAGATCTTGCGAATCGAATCGAGATCTTTTGAATTGGAATCAAAACGAGATCTTGTGAATTGAATCGAGATCTTGTGAATCAAATCGAGATCTTGTGAATCGAATTGAGATCTTTTGAATCTAAATCGAATCGAATTGAAATCGTGTGAATCGGAATCAAATTGAGATCTTGTAAATTGAATTGAGATCTTATGAATAGAATTGAGATCTTGTGAATCGAATTGAGATCTTGTGAGTCTGAATCAAATTGAAATTGAAATTGTGATCTTGTGAATCGGAATCGAATCGAGATCTTGTGAATCAAATCAAGATCTTGTGAATCAAATCGAGATCTTTTGAATTGGAATCAAAACGAGATCTTGTGAATTGAATCGAGATCTTGTGAATCAAATCGAGATCTTGTGAATCGAATTGAGATGTTTTGAATCTAAATCAAATCGAATTGAAATCGTGTGAAACGGAATTAAATTGAGATCTTGTAAATTGAATTGAGATCTTATGAATCGAATTGAGATCTTGTGAATCGAATTGAGATCTTGTGAGTCTGAATCAAATCGAAATTGAAATTGTGATCTTGTGAATCGGAATTAAATTAAGATCTTGTGAATCAAATTGAGATCTTGTGAATTTGAATCGAATTAAGATCTTGTGAATCAAATCGAGATCTTGTGAATCAAATCGAGATCTTTTGAATTGGAACCGAATCGAGATCTTGTGAATCGAATCGAGATCTTGTGAATCGAATTGAGATCTTTTGAATCTAAATCGAATTGAAATCTTGTGAATCGGAATTAAATTGAGATTTTGTAAATTGAATTGAGATCTTATGAATCGAATTGAGATCTTGTGAATCGAATTGAGATCTTGTGAGTCTGAATCGAATCGAAATTGAAATTGTGATCTTGTGAATTGGAATTAAATTGAGATCTTGTGAATCAAATTGAGATCTTGTGAATTGGAATCGAATCGAGATCTTGTGAATCAAATCGATCTTGTGAATCGAATCGAGATCTTGTGAATCAAATCGAGATCTTGTGAATCGAATTGAGATCTTTTGAATTAGAATCAAATCAAGATCTTGTAAATCGGAAGGAAATCGGGACATCTGAATCAATACCCAGTCCTATAGCTGCATATTTGGTCCAGGGGTCATTGAGATCTAAAGGTTGATGCTGGACTGGACTAATAAAAGCATGTTGTATTGCTCGACACGAGCCTCCAAGACTTTATCTCAATCCCCTGTTCATCATACACATTCCCCGCAGCACAGATAGCCCTGCGTACTGTACCGGGAGGCCCACGAGTCACTGAAGAAGACATGCCATGAATGTTTGCCTGGGAGAGTGGGAGGTAAAGGCATCCGTGAGGGAAACTGATTTCATATAGAGCTAGACAGTTTCTGGAGAACAGGAGCCTCCGTACAGCACTGTGTCTGGCTAATGGCTTTTACCTCTATACAGATAAAACAGTGTAAAATTTAGGATACGTGGAAGCGGCAAAACATTCGGTATTATGATTTTTAAGGCCAGACAAGTAATTTGGTGAGGTCAATTTCTAGAGAAAGTATAAATGAAGGTGACTTGACTTGACTTTACATTCAGCGTGTGACTGTTTGCCAGGGAAACGCGGGAAAGAGTTCAAACAGCTACACAAGAGTGTGTTGTTAGAGGGTTTACCACTACAGGTGTTAATGCATGAGATTGTGGAGAACCCCTTCAACAGCTTAACACTCACATTTGGCAAAGTGTCAGTGATTGGTTTGACCTTGCTTTATAATGGCAGCTCTGTGAGTTATTTAATTTAACATTTTTTTTGAAGAAAATGCGAGTGGAGTTTGCAAATGCAAACCTTGAGACTTTATTAGACCCTATAGACCATTC